CACTTAATAAATTAAAACAACAACAACAACACAACTAAGGACCAATCTTCCTTCCTACTAACTTGTATAGAAAAGCATGGCACTTAAGAATTGGAAGGTATCTGAGAACATGAGAGTTTGAAAGTGGAATGAAGACCATTAAAACTAAAAGGAGACTCTAGCATGTATGCAAATAGAATGGTACCTAACTATTCTAGAATGTTAGAGCTGGAAAGGAACTTAGAACATGACATATTATAGTTAGAAGGGAACATAAAAGACAGAATGTCAGAGTGCAAGGGCCCCTAGACACCAACCCCTCCAGCCCCATCAAATCCTTAAGTATATTTTCTATTTTAAAGTCATCTCTGCTGCCATATTTCACCTTTGCTGATTCAGATACTAAGCACAAAAGAACAATTTCTTAAAGTCCAAGCAAATGTCTACTCTCAACTCTCAGGACTCATGTCAGTATGGTTTAGCAGAACAAATAGAGGAATGGAAGTCAGGAAACTCATTAAGTAGTTATACGACTTTTAAAAAGAAGTCACTGAGCTCCAGCCTCATTTTTCTCATCACTCAATTTGGATCTATTTATCACTAAGTGTTATGAGATCAAATGAGATAAGAGGCAATGAAAGACCCTTGACAAGTATAATGACTTTAAACATTCTGTTTGCCCTTTTTGGACACATTCCAGCTTATTAATATCCTTCTGAAAAACATGAAGCCTATCAATGAACAAAATATTCTAGATGTGATCTGCTTAGGAGAGAGAACATTAAGGGCATCAGTGCTTCCCTAATTCTGAATCCCATCCTTCTATATCTGACACCTAAGGTCACATCACTTTTTTTTTTTCACTTGCTTGTTTGCTGTTGACCTAGATTGAGCTTTCAGCCTAATTTACAGATCCACTGGGGGGATGAAGTATCTTGCCCAGGGTGAAAAAGCAAATTCATGTCTAGAGTCAAATCTGTTTCACTACAACATCATGCCTCAATGTTTCCATACACATACATATCCTGCCTCCATCATCATCATCATCATCATCATCACCATCATCATCATCACCACCACCACCATCATCATCATCTTGTGCTTTATATGTTATCTCATTTGACCCTCAAAGCAACAATGAGGAAGGTGTGATTATTATCTGAATTTACAGATCAGGAAACTGAGGCAGAAAGTTTGAGAGATTTGCCTATTAGGATTTGAATTCAGTTCTTTCTGACACCAAGCCCAATAGTCTTCCCACTGTGTCACCTAGCTACCTCTAGAAGATTACCATTTGGAAAGGATGTCACATAAGGCTAACATTTAGAGAAACTATAACAGCAGAGAGAAGTAACTTGGTGTAGCTATGTCAGGAAGAGCTGAGTTCAAGTTCTGATTCTTACATGTATTAGCTTTGTTAACAGGTATAAGTCACTTAGCTTCTTAATGTCTTTAAGAGCAGAGCAGCTGCTATCCTTCATCTGTGAATGGAGTTTCCATTCCTGGAGTCCCTCACACTGTCAAAGTCAAAAGTCTGCACTCATTTTTTTTTAAATGAGTAGCATACATTTGCTAGTGCTTTAAGGTCTGCTGGGTAATCTCTTCACAACTACCTTGTGGGGGAGACTATATAAATACCACTACCCCCATTTTATAAAGGACATGGAAGATCAGAAAGTTCACAGGCTCATAGATCAAGAGCTGGTACTTCAGCTACCTAGGTTAATATGTCAGTTTTACAGATAAGGATACTGAAGCCCAGGAAGGTCAAGCAACTTTTCCAAGGTCACATAGGTAGGAAATGCCAATTGAGTTTAAAGAAAAAAAAAAGTGCTTTAGACACTTATTATACTAGTCATAATAGCAGGCCAAGGAATTCTCACAACTATTCTTCCATAAAATATAGTTTTCTGGCTTTGAAGCCAAGCTCTTTCTACCAGCCAATGGTATTTCTACATGACTTTCTCTTTACCTGTGTGTGCACATATACAGAAGCTCATACACACACACACACAAAAGTATGATTCCATGATGGTTTTGAATGGAGAATAGGCATCTAAGTGTTCTACTCTGATTCTCCCCACTGAGTCTCCTTTGAAGATTAGTGTGGAGAACAGTAGAAGATTAAAGAGAGGATGGAAAGGAGGGGGAGTTGGTGCAGGAAGAAAAAAGACCTGTATGCATTAAAATGGTTTTGCTCTCTTATTTTTCAAGATACCAAATGCTTATGTGGAATTCAGGCAAACAAAATGCTGTTTATTTACATGGTATAATAAGAGTAAACACTCAGCAAGGAAGGGACGGGATGTACTAGCTCAGCATGAGCTAACCCATTATCTTATGTTTTCAATGGGAAATAGTCGGTACAGAGAGGTTTGGTAACAAAGTTGTCTATGAATAAGATGGAGAATGTGATTACTTCTTTTGGATTACTGCAATATGTAATTACTTCCAGGAGCCCAGTAGAAAGGAACTCTCTTAAATGATAATTATAGGACTATATTCACTTTCAAGCTCCATAATAGCACCAAACACTAGAGTTTTCATTAATGGTTTGCCACAGTTAATAAAGTCATTTTTTCTTTAAAAAAATAAAAATAAAAACCCACCTAGCAATTTCCACAAAATGGAGTTTCTAGTTCAGGATTACTTTATTTATAAGCAAAAGGAAGGCACTGGCTGACTTACACTCTCTAATGAATAACTATTAGTGGGGATTGAGTCCAATTTTAAGAGTTGTGACAAAACTACAAGCAAAAATAAATTCCTATAGATATCCTATAGATAATTAACAATAAAACTCAAATTCTTTGAGTTTCAAAACTCTCACAACCCTATAAAGTACATAATATGAGAAACTGAGGTGTGGAGAGTAGAAGTACTTAATTATAAAACCTAGTCTAACTCAGACCTGAGCAGAGATAACACCTCAAATCTCTATCTGTTTTGCATCAAAAGGACACTTGTTCTGGTAAGGCAGCCCCTTCCATTTCTGTATAGATGATTACTAGTACTTTCTTTTATGTTTTTTTTTTCCTTCCCATCAAGTTGAAATCTTTCAACTTTGCGATGTCTACTCTTTCCTTCTAGTTCTGATCCCTGGGACCAAACAGAACAAATTTAATCCCTCTTTCACATGACATCCCTTCAGCTAGATTAATATGTGTATGCCAATTTATTAGAAAAGTGCTATTGATACTTATTACAGTAGTCATAATAGCAGACCAAGAAATTCTCACAAACAACTAGCCAGTCTGTCCTTTGGTAAAATGAATAATGGGGTGACTTCCTTTGGTAAAGGCATTTTGCTTTACAGAAATATAGCAAGTTCTTAATAGGAAAGATAAATATATATGAGACATGGGAGGTGAAATAGATAAAGAAATGGAGAGACCACCTCTCCCAAGTTGATATGAGGTGGTTTCATATATTCAGGCTGGTGATCATTGGGATTTATATCCTAAATAGTCCTTGGTGTCAATTCAGATAGCATCATAGATGTGTCCTGCTCAAAATAAATTTTGTGTAGGAAAAAAAAAATCCAAATGTATCAAACTAGTATTTGAAAAAGGTCAATTATCTGTATCAAAAAAGTGGTGTTCACTTTACAAAAAGAATCATTTCAGGAAAGTTTAACTACTCATAATTATTGTAATAATCTCTTGCACTAGGATAATGTTTTCTAGTAAGAGATTTTGATAACAAGTTTAGTGATAATATTAACAGATGATTTTCATACATTGGTTTAAGTTAATGCATTATAAATATTTTACCATGTTTATTTTCACATTAATCCTAGGAGGTAGATGTATTATTACTATGCCCATTTTATACATGAGGAAATTGAGGCAGGTAGAAGTTAAATGACTTGCCCAAGGTTACAAGCTAGTAAGTCTCTGAGGCAGGATTTGAACTCAGGTCTTACTGACACCAGGTACAGCTCTCTATCCACTGTGTCATCTAGCTGCTTTGGATCTCCCAAGATCATTGTGTTGAAGAGAGGGCAAGTGTCATTAACTCTCCCTACCACCACACAATGCTCTATTTTACAGATGAAGAAAATGTGGTTGTAATTTTCCCAAGTTCATGAAACTACTTAGTGACAGAGATCCAGCATTAAAAAAAACAAACAAACAAACAAACAAAAAAACAACTAACAAACAAAACAAACAAAAAATTATGGGCAATGTGGTCCTTCATGGAACCTCTTCTGTAATAATTTATGACTGAGGTGACCCTGAAAGCACCATCAGTGCAGCATAATCTTTGGTAAGTCCATCCAACCCGGAAAACCTTCAAGGATGATTCCAAAGATGGAATGGTGTCTGTCATTTGGAGATCTGCCTACCTAAGTGCATAGAGCCCTTCACCAGAAGGTTTACCACCAGGTAAGAATGTTTATTTATTTATTTATTTATTTATTCAATTTTTGACTGCAGCAACCAAGAATCATAGAAGCTTAGCAATGGAAGAGACCCAAACATTATCTAAGCCAAGTCATGGATAAGTAGAAATTTCTTTTACAATATTCTTGACCAGTGGCCTATGTTGCAAAGAGAATAAGTCTAGTTTTTTTTTCCCCCAAAAGGTAACCTTTCACACTTTTGAAGAAAGTCTGCATGTATTTCTCTGTCTTTTCTTTTCCAAACTAAACTTCCCTAGGTCCTTCAACTGATATGCCTTAGTTCTTTTTCTATCCCCAGTCATGAAACCATGAAATTTATGACACTGTCTACTATGGAAGGGAGGGGTTGTGATCTGTGGAAGTGAAGGGTATGCTGACCATAAGGAAATCATAAGTCTTTTTGTCTTTACTTACTTAAAACCAAGAGTCATTTACTTCTAGATACCATGCTCTCAGTGAGAGACTTTGGTTTTGAAAACAAAAGAAAGCAAAACAAACAAACAAACAAACAAAGGATTATTCAGCATTTAGGTACTCTATAACAGAACAATCTTTTTTTTTTTTAATCTTTCATGGGAGGCATATAATACTAATGTAAGTGAACTTTGGTACAAACCTCTGTTGTCTCGGACTGTAAAATTTGGGTTATGGACAATTTCAGGAGGTAAGCTGAAAAGAAATCTTGGTCCATTGGCTGTATCATCCTTGTCTTCAGCACTAATGGAAACTATTGGCTGTAAAAAGCAAAAAAAAGTGACCTATGGACAAGTCATGTTTGAAGAACACATCACTTGATGAATTTTACTAAGCTCCCATGTACTATGAGTCTTACCAAACTCAATGCTTTTAACTGGAATCCCAACATCTCAGAATTGGAAGGGACCAAAACAGTATCATCTACTTCACCCTATATTCCTTACTCCCAATCCAATTAAGGAATTGCTTCTATGATACCCCAGTTTCTCCTTAAAGAACTCCAATGACGTGGAACTTCTTATCACATGGGGCATCCTATTCACTCTTCATCAAGATCTAATTATAAAGAAGTCTTCTTTATATTGTAGTGAAATCTAATTACTTGTAACTTTTACACATTTATCTCAGTCTTACTCTCTGAATCTTTACAGAATAATTCTAATCCCTCTTTCACACAATGATCTTTTATATATTTGATAACTGTCTCACTTCCTCCAAGGCTTCTTTCCTACAAGCTAAAATTCCCTTAGTTTGTTCAACTAGTCTAAAAATGATGTAGTTTTGAGTCCCCTTATCATTATGATTACACTCCTTTGGATGCTCTAAAGCTTGTCCACACCCATATTTAAATGTGAAATCCAAAATAAGAAACCAGCCCTTAGATGTGGTCTGACCAGGAAAGAAATGAATAAATTCATCTCCCTTTTAATAGACATCAAACTTTAGCAAATGAAAAATATTGCTGATGGGTCAACTAAGACTCAGAATCCCTTTCTTTCTAATAATGAAAGGAAGTCAAAAGAATCATCAAACCCTTTCAAAGAACTTCATTCATCATTATTCAATAGCTTGAGGTAGGATGTACCTGATTAGAAACAGGTTTTGTTTGGTCACTCTCACAAATAAAGCCTTCATATGGGGCTGCAAATTTGGGAGCATTATCATTGACATCAATAACTCTGATGGCAACCGGGACTTTAGCTTCCTGGTGTCGATTGTCTGGAAGAAAAAATATATGCACAGTAAAAGGCAAGGCAGAGTGCCTCCATTGATTTCCTTAAGGTTTTCCATAAGCTTACCATACAATTAACCCCAATGATCTGTCCTCTAGACAGTAAACTTTCATGAAAAGGGTTGTCATCTGAGATGCTTGGTGTGGGCTGTGGGCAAAAGGGTTCTAAACTACTATTTGCAAATAAAAAAGCAATATACTCTCATTTCACCATGGTGACTATTTGATGTAGACATTCAATTTCAAAGGAGAGATATCTTCCCCCCAAGTAGCTCAGGACCCTTGATTAAGGGTCCCACAATATGTGGTTTGAATGATCCAGGTGGGGCTCTAGGTTTGACAAACTCATATATGAGAGCAGCCCATAGGAATTCATTCAAATAATATTACAAGATTTAAGTTTGTTAAGTTTGTACCCATTTCTGTCACAGAAAAGACCTGTCACTTTTTGTATACCCTGCCCCCATCCACCCAGGAACAAGGATGTTTAGGATTGAAATAAAAAAAAAAAACCTTTTAGTTGTAGCTATCTAGAATATTGCTGTTCACTAAAAATTAGTGCACAGATGTGTATAGGAATATAATCCTCATTAAAGACCATTCAAAAACTCTTGAAAGAGTACTTACGGAATTCAGTTGCAAAAACAGAAATGTTGAGCCAGGCTGTTTCCTCCCTATCCAGAGGTTTTGTGGTTTTAATAAAACCATCTTCTTGACCAATACTGAAATATCTGTCGAGGTCAGTGTGCCGATCAATTGAATATCTAAGCAGAACACAAATTAAGATTTTAAATATGCCCCATCTCAGGCTGCTTAATGTTGTAATGTTTGAACCGCCTTAGATTTAACTTAACATTTTGGATTATTACCTTAGTATCACAAGAGTATTAAGGATGGAAGAAATGTTAGAGTACAGAACAGAGAATATTAGATTTAGAAGGGATTTTAGAAAATAGAACAGCAGCATTGGGCGAGCTCTTACATCACAGATTGTTAGATCTGTAAGACATTAGAAGTAGAATGTCAGAATGGGAATAAGTCTTAGAACACAAAATGGTAAAACTAGAAGGCATTTCAGAGACTGTCTAATCTCCCCCTCCATTTACAGAGAAGAAAGCTTTGACTTCAGAGAGGTCATATGGCCTGCCATTGACCCTATGAGATTCAACTCAATTTGATAAGCATATGTTAATGTCCTACTGTTTTTAAAGTATTATTCTAGATTCTGAGGGGAAAAAAAAAGTTTAGACATAGTCACTACCTTCAGAGTTCTTACAATCTATGTAGTTTCATATTTCCCCTACTTTATTATGTATGTCTTTCTATAGAAAACATTCTGTAGCATTAAAGCTACTTCTATAATACATTGAAAGAAAATGACACAACATATTTGATTGAGAACTGCAATGAATAATTGCATATTTCTCCATATTTACTATATCCATCCATCACCTGAATATTTATGAAGATGAATTTAGGAAACAAGTTTATTTAACTCCCCAACTACTCAGAAAATCACAAATTCTACAGCTTTTGCCAGCTTCTAGCATACGGCACATTAAATAATTTCAAATTTATCTAAATTTATCTCTCAGGGTTCATTATGGCCTTAAAATCAATCTCCTTATCTTTATTCATTTCGAGATGCTAACAAAATTTTATGCTAATGCTATTTAATTTCAGACCTATTCACGTAGTTCAGTTCTGAAGAGGAATGAGCCCATGAATAGTGTCAGACGGCTCTAAGTCTGGCTACTCTGCTTACCTATTATTCAGAGCCTTTGGCCATCTAAACTCACTGTATGTTCTCAGTAACTTGATCTCTTTGGGCCTCAGTTTCCTTATCTGTAAAATGAAGTGGTGAAACTAGATAATGTCATAAGGGCCCTTCCAGGTCTAGCATTCTGTTATTGTGAAGTACTTTTCAATTCTAACAATTGATATACTACTATGAACATGTCAATTCCAATCTCAGTGGTTCCCCTGGAAACTTTACATCCCTAAATTAACCTTTCAGTGAGGTATTTACGGACTTTCTGTCCTGTTCACTCAGCTATGCAGGGTTTCCTAGAAAGAAGTCCCAGTACAGTTTTAAGTTTACTAATGCTTAAGTTCAAATTTTTAAACTAAAAGTTTAATTTTATTAAAGTTTAAAACTGCACTAGGGTTTTTGAGACACCCTGCAATTGCACCAGTAGTAGATTATATTTATGTAACGTTTAGTTATGATAAGCACATGGTAGAGTGGGGTTTTACAGGTATCATTTTAGCCATTTCACAGATCGGGAAACTCGGACTCAAAGGAAGCATCTCTTCCATGGCACTCCAACAACTAAATTTCAGAGCTGGAAATGAATCCAGATCTCCTGACTCAGTTAGCGCTTTTTTTTTTCTTCAATCTACTCTATCACACTGCCTCTCTAACAATCTGTGATCTAAGATTCTTTCCAGTTCCGAAATGCTAGGATACTGTGATTCAAAGGGAGGTGTTTGGCCCACATTCATTTTGAATTTAGATGCCGCACTTGGCTAGAAAACTTGAGAGTAAGCTGCAGAATCTAAATGGATAAAGAAGTGAACTGGGTCAGAAAACACTCCTTCATATTAATTGTTTCCCTACAATAGTACTCAGGAAAAGGCCATTAATAGACTTATTGGATGAATTATTCATTCCCTAAAAATAGTTGACAGCCCTGGCCCTTAAGAGAAAATGAGAATAGGAAAGCTGTATCCGAAAGGGCTCTTTTTATTGAACTCTAAGAACTAACTCATCAAAAAACACATTTCTATAGCTCCAAGGAGCATACTGGGAAGATGATATTGGACAGGATATCTGCCCTCAAGGAGCTGACAGTCTAGTTGGGGGACATGAGGTATGAATACATAGTGAATACATAAAGAGTAGGGTTAGAGTATGAGAAGTGGACACAAATGAGGAGTCATGGGTTTGGATCTTTTGTTTTGATGATTGTCTAATGTAAGTGATTTCCCCCCATTAAATTGACCATGTCACCAGAGATATTGTACCAGAGAGAAACAATGCACTCAGCAAGGAGTAGAGTGATGTGACAAGGGCAGAAGAATGTAGACAATCACTCAAAGAAAGAGACAGCTTCAGAGATCGTGACCTTTCATGTCAGAGAAGATTGGTAGAGACCCTGTCCCCAAAGGGAACTACGTGAACAACCTATGAAGAGAGACAAGAGTTCCAGTTCCAGGAATTGTGAGTTAGCCCTTTGCCATACTTTTCCTTCAGACATATACCTCACTACCATGTAAATTTGACCCTGTGCTTCCTAGAGATACTGTGTGTATTTGATAGTGCACATGCCACAAGTTCTGGGGGGAATATTTTGTACTAACTCTTCTTGCTATCTTAGTAAATGTCTTTGCTAAAAGATGAGTAAGTCTACTGTCTCATTATTAAGATGAAGAACACTAAGGAGAGCTCAGGAATTACTTTAGTTTGTATGGCCATCCACATAGTGATCACCTGAATTAGGGGAACTGGCCACCTCCTGGGGCTCCAAATGTGGGTAACTGTGAGGAATAATCCAGAGGGCATGTCACACTCATGTTCTGTCAAGGTTTGCTTTAATTGTCCCCTTCCCTACAAAACCATTTCTGAGAAACCAACTTCTAAATGTTGTCTACCATCTGAAATTATCTTCTATTTACTTATCTGTGTGCATGTTATATTTCCCTAATAGACTGTAGGTTTCTTGACATTGAGGGTTACTTTGTATTTGTCCTTCTATCCCCAGTACCTTACACAAAGTATAATAGGAATACTGATTTAGATTTGTGAGAGATGTTAGAGTCAATCAAAATGATGATTTTATAGATAATGAGACTAGGGCCCAGAGTAGGATTAATTGATTTGACCAATGTCTCACGAATAATAAATGGAAGACTGAGTATTCAAACCCAGGTCCTTTGATGCCAAATATAGGACCCTTCCCATTGTAATACAGTGTTTTCCCACAGAGCAGGTACTTAATATATACTGGTTGAATTGAGGAATCAATTTTAATGGAAGCCGTAATATCTCTACAGCAATAATAAGCCAGTAATTTGGCATCGCAGTGATGGAACATCTAGATATTAAATTCGATCCACTATTGGACTTGGATTCTTAACTGCAGTACACAATAGAGTGAAAGGAATATGCACAATTATGGTTATAGAAATTGTGAAAAGAAGTGACCATGCAGAACCTGACCTAAGTAATTAGGAACACAATCAAAGGATCTCAACATCGAATGGGACCTCAGCTCTTATCTAGTCCAACCCACATCTGAACAAGATTCCCTACTACAACAGCCCTTGTGAGTGATCATTCAACCTCAGCTTACCCCCGTCAGTGACAAGGAACTCAATTCCTCCTCAGTATTGCCCCCCTCCTCCAATTCCCCAGGCCTGGTTATTTCCTTTTTACTCTAAATATATGTTGAACTGATATGTGTCTTTCTACAACTTTCATTCACATGTCTGCTTTCTGGGAACACACAGAGCAAGAAGAAGAGCATTTCATCAAATATTGGAAGAAAAGCCATGCTCCCCAGTAAGTCTTCTCTTTGTACATCATGGCGTTTTTGCCAAGGGAAAACTTGTTTGAAAGATCACATGGGGAGAAGTGAAAAGTTCTTTAAAGGGGTTAGAGTTACTGATGGATTATCCCATGCTTTTAGGCAAGGGAGACGAATATCCTCTCAATTAGGAAAAGTCCTTCCAAGGAGATTTTAGCATGCATACCCTGCAATCGATTTCTACGAGTCTGAATTTTTTTTTTCCTTAGGTGTGATCTCCACCCCTTTCTTGCATCTTAACATCATTTTCTGATTTGCAAATTGAGACTGTCTTCATGCAGAGGATTTTAAAGACCTTTCTCAGTGTTCTCTACCTTTTATAACCCTCATCTCTTAAGCAAGCCTGTTAGTTTTCATATTCAAATCTTAACTCATTTATTCCTCTGTTTTGGCTTCTCTCCAACTCTCCAATTATCCATGCACATCCAGACTAAGCCTACACCTTTAACAGAACCCTAACCAAACCAACATCCAGCAAAGTAACTGTTGCCCTTCTTTTTACGACAACAAACTTCATTTCAAGTTTGTTTTCTTAGACAATAGAACTTTAAAAATAATATTTTGCTTTCATTTTTATTTTTTGGTTTGTGTTGTCCCTCACTCCCATATATGTATATATGTGTGTGTATACATGTGTGTGTATGTATGCATGTATGTATATATGTATATAGGGGTGTGTATGGATATGTATGTGTATATATGTATATGCATATGCATATATATATATATGATTGCATGTATTATCACTAATATCATCACTCCTTGGTCAGGCATTGAATAACCTCCATAAGATAGTACCATCCCACATTTCCCAACTTGCCTTATACTAATCCTATTCACACATTCTCTAGTACAAGCAGACTGAATGAATTTTGTATCCATCAAACCCAGATCTGTACTTTCCTGGTTCTGTGTTCATTCTAATTATTAGAATGTCCTACCAGTCTTTATTTTCTCATTGAATTCTCAATCATTCTCTAAAGTCCAACTCAAATGCCACTTACTGTTTCAAGCCTTCTGTGATTCCTTCCCTTTGATTGTGACCTTTACCCACTCAAAGCTTATACAGGACTTTGTAGCTTTATGGCCAACTAATGAAATACTGTGCATTGTAGTTACCTAGTCTTGTATCCCATGTTCTACAGAGTCTATAAGATCCATTAGGCAAGAACCGCATCTTGGCTTAAGTTTATATCTCCATCAGTTCCCAATGCATTTTTTTGCATGCAATAGGTACTTAATAAGTGCTTCCCTGAAATGAATTTTGCTTTACTAGAGCTCTAAGAGATAGGATGGGTAAGTATTATCTTACCCACTATCACAACTAAGGATGATACCAAACAGAACAGTTGCATTCCTTGCCCATAGTCATTGCCAAAGGGGCCTAGTTAGTAACAGAATCAGATGCCATGTCACCTAAGTCCGGGTCCAATATTCCCTCGAGTATTATCATACTAGCTTGCCTTATGCTTGAGAGCCTTGAGGTCAATTTCCCCAAAGAATCTATTTACACATGCCCAATTTCTGCTATTTTCTCTTCAAACAATAGCCCCCAAATCATCTGCCGGCACCTGGTATACTGAGATCACAAGCTTTAGAGCATAGACATACCTGATGGGGCTACCGGCAGCATCAGGGTCTTTGGCATGGACTCTACCAACAATAGTACCAGCAGCTGCATTTTCTTGGACTTCATGAATATAACTGGGTGCTAAAAACATTGGCGGCTCATCAGCATCTTCCACTGCAATCTTCACTGTCACTGTGTCCTTAAATGGTCCATTGCTGATGAACTTAGGATCAATGTGAACATTTGCAGCCTCCACCTTTAGACTGTAAGCTTTTTTGGTTTCAAAATCTACGGGCTGGTAAGAGAAAGAATATCATGCATCATTGCATTAGAAAATGCTGTAAGTCCTTCATTTTACAGATGAAAAAGATGAGGCTCAGAAAAGTGATGTCCTTTACCCAAGTAAATATCAGAACCAGAGCTCAAACCTAGGCCCATTGCTTCCATTTCCAATGCGTCTTCAATTATATTATCTACTCACCATCTAATTAGAGGGTTGGTCACATTCAGCTTATTATAAAAGGCACTATATTCTCAACTAGATGGGATGTGTTCTTGGGTTGTGAACATATATATATATATATATATATACATATATATGAAAAGACATATTGATAGATATAGATGTATGCACATATGTCTATATCTCTACACATATACACATGCAACATTTTTGGCATCATCTCAAAACTTAGCTTCTGAAACTATTACCCCTTTCTCTTTGCTGTGTTTTCATGACAGTGAAGTCTCCTGGTTCTAGACATCCATGTTTTCCTTCTCATTTTTTTTAATTTTTTTTCTGGCTTATAGTGTGTGTACTACTTTTCTTTGGTTAGGTACATTTCAGAGTTCTATCTCATGCTTTCTTTTCTTTCTACACTTCTTCCTTGGTGATCTTAGCAGCTTCTATGATCTCAGTTATTATTTCTATGCAGAGTACCCCTCAAATCTTTATACCTATGCCTCATCTCTCTCCAGAGCTGTAATAACACATAACCAATTGCCTGCTGAACATCTATAGCTGGATGTGTCAAAGAACATCAAATTAAACATGTTAAAACCTAAGTCTTCCCACTGTGAACTGCTGCCTCCCTGAAAAAAACCCCAACAACCACCACTATGTTTTTTTTTTCTTATAATTTTGCTTCTGAGACCACAATGATTTTTTTAAGGCAACTGGGGCTAAGTGACTTGCCCAGGGTCACATAGCTAGTAAGTGTCAAGAGTATTTGGTCTGAGGCCAGATTTGAACTACTGACTTCAGGGCCAGTGCTCTGTTCTCTGTGCCACCTATCTGCCCCCCACAATGAGTTCTCCAGTTACTTAAGTCCATAACTTCAGAGTCATCTTGAACTTGTCATTTTCCCTCATTCACCATATACAACCAGTTTATCAGTTTCCAGGTTCCTTTGTTGATTGTATCCCCACATTATATTTCATACCTATATGTTTTTTTTTTCCATTCAAACAGTTACCACTTTAGTTTAGGCCCTGACTACATCTTGATTAGACTATTAGAAGAGCCTTCTAATAGTTTTCCTGATATGTAGTCTGTCCCCACTATAATTCATCCCCCAATCAGCTGCTAACTTTAAATGCCCAAGGTACAGGTCTGACTACGTCCCTTCCCTGCTCCAGAAATCTTATTCTCTAGGGGAAAAAAAAAACCACATACACTGCTCTGTTTAGCATTTGAAGCCTTTCACACTTTGGCTGCAACCTATCTTTCCATACAGATCTTATAATATTTTTCATCATGTAAAGTATTTCATCATGTAGTCTACATTCTAGCCAAACTGCTGTTCCTCATAGACTGACGTTGGCATCTGCCATTTGCACAGGCCATCCTCCATGCTAGGAATGCCCTTTCTTCTAATTTCTACCTCATAGAATGCTTGCTTTCCTTCAAAGGCCTTCTCAAGTACCACTTCATGAAGGAGGCCTTTCATGAAATAATGGAGGAGAAAACATCTATTAAGTGCTTACTATGTGCCAGACATTGTGATAAATGCAAGGAATAGAAAAAAAATACATACTATATATATATATATGCATGTATATATACCTATTTTCTATGAGATTATTTCTCATAGGAAAAGACTATGTTTGAAGGGAATTTATGGCTAGGAGAGGTTTTTTTGGGAAGGGGAGCCGTGGGAGAGTGAATGGAGTCATAGGAGAATTGATTGATATACTCTTGCAAGGAATGGAAGTATTATGATTCCTGTTTCCAGAACTAGAGATGGAAAGATGTCAGGAGGTGACCTGTGGGTCAAATGACTAGTCTAATTATGGCTGCTGCTCACCAATCAGAAGCCCAGGGCACATGGATGGAGTTGGAATTGGAGTTCCAGGCTGCAGGTGGAGGTCAGAGGGCAGGAGCATGGCACCAAGATGACTGTAGGGCATACATATTTACATATGCACATGTTTGCTATCCCCTGGTAGAATGGAAGCTACTTGAGGGCAAAAGCAATTTCATTTTTATACTTGTATACTCACAGGCTGTTACACTGATATATTATTGGCACTTAACAAATGTTTCTTAATTAATTGGAATAACAATGGCTTCCATCACGTAGTGGGTACTGATGCTAATTGACTGACTCCTCCCTTTTTTGGTCAATTATTCCAATATTTTATATATTTTCTTATACTCTTTTCTTCTATGTCCTAACATTCTACAGTCTAAGATTCTTTCGAGTTCTGACATTATAAGTTCTACCTTTCAGTGTTCTCAGGTCTTTTCCAGGGGGGGATATTTCCCTAAAGGTAATGTTCTCATTACCAAAAGCTATATATCCCGTAATCACCCTAGCTTGTTATAAAGGTATTAAGAATTTAATGTGTGGGCTTCAGATATTAAATTATATTAACTGGTTCATTAAGAACTAATTGTTGCCTTATAATTTAGATAGATAATAGATATTTTTAATAACAATTTGCTCTCTTAAACACTTATTTGAGGAAAAGAAAACCAATCTTCAATTATCAAACAGTCAGGTGAAGCCCTTCAAGGTGTTCTTGTTTAATTTCCAGGTGTTGATCTACATAATCGTTTCCTCTGTCCCCAAGTATCCAATTTTTCTCAGGAGGAAAACATATTGGCCATCTGGGATCTGATAGAGTATATAGACTTGAAGATTTAAGTGCAAGAATGATGATGCCAAGTCAAATTTTGACTCTTTCACTCTTATTCTCTATGATGTTGGGTAAGTGACTTCCTTTCATTAAGCCTCAGTTTCCTTATCTATCAAAAGAGCAGTTGGTCTAGATGATCTTTGAGTTTCCAAGTCCTATGATCCCTACTGGCTAAGAATGGTGATTGGAGTGTTGGATAAAAAGTACAGGCAAAGTAGAACAATTCTCTGGGGCTTTAAATATTTGTAAATCACTTTCCTTAAAACAAATACATAAGGGAGACCGTACAAGTATTATCCTTTGCATTTTGTAGATAAGGAAACTGCTCCCCAGAGATGATAAACAACATGGAGATAACATAGCTTGTTGATTGTAGAGGCAATGGTCAAAAATAAAATTCCAGAAGTTCAGGCCAACAATGTCTTCTCTACCCAAGAAATTCCAGTGGCTCCCTTCTTCCTTAGGATAAAATACATCTTTTTTTTTTTTCAACATCTATGTTTTAAAGGCCGTTCATAAACTGAATCCAGAGAATTTTTTTTCCAGCTTGTGGAGTATTCTTTCTTTTCATGCACAATATGTTTCAACTGAACTGGCCAACTTGCTGTTCTCTGCACACAGAATTTCATCCCCTTTTTCTAGGCCTTTAAACAAGTGACTTCCCATTACCATTCTTTGATTCTCTCCCCATTCATCTCCATCCTTTAAACATGCTATTCCCCCCAAAACTCAGCTTAAAGGTCATTTCCTTCAAGGATCCTTTCCTAAATCTTCAAATTGTTACTATCTCTACTCCCTCAAAAAAGTCACTGTATTAAATGTTTTGCACAATCTATCCTATTTTTATCTGTGAATCCAATGTATCTTCCTGGTAGAATGTAAGCTCCTTAAGGGTAGGGACTGTCTCACTTTTACATTCATATTTAGAGTGAATAGCGCAGGAAGTGGCCAATAAAATAGTAAGTATTAGGCATTTAAATGTTTGCTGATTGAAATTCACTTTATGTTTTTTTAATAACTTTCCTACTTTTTACTTTGAATTTCCAAACCGTGTAGTACAAGCTGAGACAAAGGTTCTTTAATAAATTAAATAACAGTAGCCACCACCTTAATCTTAAATGGTTGCTTTTTAGAAAATTGTTCCTTCACTTGGAATAAACACACTGAATTAGAGGAGAAGAATGTGCAGATTAATCATATGCAGGGAGCTCATTTGCAATGTTGGAGCTCCATGGGGTGATTTAAATGTTTCAAGATCGTAGAGACACTGTGTGTTTATGCCCTGAATGCATTGAAAACAAGTGACAACCTTTGCTCAACCAACCATCCAATTACATCCAGAGTGAAGAATGGGATTGAGGACTAGTGTATGTCAAGTGCTCATATGTCAGTGTCAAGCACAAAGACGAGTAATATTAATTAGTAAGGGAAGCTGACAGTATCATGCCAGATGTCATTATTATGGCCATCATTTCACAGTGGAAAACTCTGAAGTATTTCTATTGCATCAGGCACATAGGTGCTTGGAGGGAGGAATATTCTATACACTGATCTTTTTATCTATGGGGCAGCTAGATGGTACAGTGCATAGAGCTCCAGGCCTGGAGTCAGGAAGACCTGAGTTCAAATTTGGTCCCAGATGCTCACTATGTGACCCTGGTCAAATCACTTAACTCTGTTTGCCTCAGTTTCTTCACCTGTAAAATGAGCTGGAGATGGAAATGGCAAATCATTCTAGTATTTTTGCCAAGAAAACCCTAAATGGGGTCACAAAGAGTTGGGCACAAGTGAACAACAACAAAATAAAATGGTATACCAGTTACACTACCTTCTATAGGTTGCTGTGGGAAAATTGTTTTGCAAACATAAAATCTATAGAAACCTAAGCTGTTATTATTATTAATGTTGTTGTTATAATTTATTTATCTAAAACCATTTTCAAAATTATCAGAATTAGAGAAGAAAGTGACACAAAGGATCACTGATATCAAATGACTTTTCAAATGTCACTCAACCAACTTCCCACCACCTCCACACATTTGGACTAGACTGTATCATGAACCCAGGAAACCTCATTATTGGGAACATTATCATCCTGAGAGTTTGCATCAGCCTTGGTCACATTCTGATTTAAGAGTGGGGCAAAGACCTCCTACCCAAGCCTCCATTTAAAAAGAGCTCCTCAGACAGCCGTCTCTTGATTTTCCACTAGCTTCACTTCTTGTCCTAGACTCCATCATATCCTTTGCCTGGGGACCTTCTTTAACCCCTTTCAATTTCCTTTCATGTACTGTCTTCTCACATTAGCCTGAGAGTTCCTTGAGGGCAGGTTCTGCATTTTACTTTTCTAGTGCTTAGTACAGTGCCTGGCACATAGAAAGCGCTTAATAGATGTTTACCGACTGACTAAATGGCAGAGCTGGGATCGGAAACTACATTTTCTGAGTACAGATTCAATAATCTTTCCACAAAAACAGGACTTCAATTCTCTAGGTTTCACCTCTCTGCTTTCCTTAATCTCTTTCTTCTTTGTAATTGAGGTATTTTCATCTGATTTCTTTTTTTTTCACTACTCCTTAATTTTTTTTTCAAATCTAAATCTAACTCTCAAAGTTCTGCATAGATTAAAAACCCAACATTATTCACCTGTTCCTCCATAACCAGCAACTTCCTCATCCTTTCAGTTCCAGTTGACCTCAATATTGCTTTTTCCATCTCCTACTTCTTTATTGATTCTTCAAATTAATTTTTATCAGTGTTACAATCCAATTTTCACCATTACCCACTGTATCTTAATATTCATGGAGCACTATCTAGTTGAAAATGAATACTTGATTAAAACCAAGGTAACCCTAACACTCAATTCTGATTTTATGCCAAATATGCTTTGAAGATTGAAAGGTGTTGATTTTGCAAGTGGTAAATCAGTTTCAAAAATGAGTTATAGAATATAGTATAATTGTGTCATAATTTTAAAATGAAATTTATTTGATTTCTCTTGTAAAAGCTCCTCTTTTCTCTGTAGTCCTATAAGAGTAGCAGTTGTAGACATGTGGTCCAGGGACCCCTCAGGATGCCTAAAACCCTTTCAGGAGATCTATGAGGTAAGAACTACTTTCCTAATAATACTATGATTTTTTGACTTCTCATATGGTAAATATTGATAGCTATAACCAACATCAAAAAAGCTATTTGGGATCCTCAGTAATTTAATAATGGAATCCTGAGACCAAAATTTTGAGAACCACTATTGTAGATGAATCATTAGTCCACCCCAATGGCAAGTGATAGTTGGCATTAAGGGTCAGTTTCATGAATGAATCTAAACTATTTGCACATACTCTGGTTAATCCCAGTTTATTCTGGGGCACAATTTATTCTAGATTTATCAGGGGAAGATGATAGAGGGGAAGAACTCATTACTTGGGGTGAATGTTCACATCAAGATAGGTGAGAACATTCTGCCTCTTCTCACCTTCTTGAGTTTCACCACACCTTCCTGGGTTTCATAATCTGTTGAAATTTCAAACAGCTCCATACCATCCCCATCAATGATATTATAGGTTACTAAGCCATTTTCTCCAATATCTGGGTCTTTGGCCTTCAGTCTTCCTACTTCTTCTCCTGGCACAGCTGCTTCTGACACAGACATCTGGTATACACCTAGAAGGAAAAGAAATAAGTTTTTGTCTTGTTTTGTTGATACTGAAAGACATCTTGCTTTGATATTTCAGTGTGATTCTCACTCCACCATCACCTATCCCAGTGCCTTCATACCTTAGAAGACAATTCTTAATGAGGAGCTCTGGTTTAAAAAAAAAATCTATCTTTTGCTGGTCAGCATTCAGGTTATGGGTATCTTTCCAATTAGTCTTGTCCTCAGGGGACAGAAACACAGCTTAAAACTTTTTTCATATTGAAAGGGTCTATCATAGTATGAACACTGGCCCATAACTTTTGAAAAGGCAGTTTCATCTCCATACTACCATGAGCCTTTCAAGGAGGTCTTAAAGGGACATGTAAGAATTTAGAATTCATTGCATTAGTATGTTACAAAGAGGATTTCAAACTCATACGGATTGAGTAAAAAAAAGTAACAAAGGAAAGAAATAAGTAAATATGAAACAAATGTTCTGTTGCAGATGTCAGCTGATGCTTTGAAGGAATAGATTATTTGAAGACTAGCAGAGGCATGGTAGGTGGTACTATGGAAAACTATAGTGTCCTAAGGTACATTTAGGATAGAAAAAAATTCTCATGAACATTGCAAATCAGGAAATAATTGCATTCCTACACACATATTCTGCATATATAATTCTTTTAACAAAATATGCATTTAATAAATTCTTTCCATGAATTCAATAATAATTATAAGAATATATATTAACTAATAATTATTCAATACTATTAATACTCCTAATAATTCTGTTCTAATTTGGTTCCACCTTAGATGGCAGATTGAGCAAGAATTATCTCTCCCTTCTTATATAAACATTGATTAGCAAATGACAAGACCCAAGAATTAATTACAGAAGCCACCTTCTGTCTCCTATGATTATGTGCCTATTAATCACTCTTTCATACATCAATATCTAGAATGTTTGAATAGTAATAACTGCTTAATCAATCAATCAAGTGAGTATCTTCAGCATGTTTAATATTGTGTGAGACACATGGAAATAGAAGAACAATACATGGCATGATCTTTGTAATTAAAAATTTATTTAGGGATGCCAAAACTTATGCAACACAAGACCAAAACGTGTTTAAAAAAAATCAATGAGGAATAAAAAGTGCAGCATATAATCAAATGAAAGAGTGCACAGATCAGATTCTAAATACAATAGAACTTCAAAGAGAAGACAGACTGACCTGATCTACCACTGAGGGGTGTGGTAAAGCAGAGGTTTCAAACACAGGCGAGTGTCAGGAGCCAGATTAATATGTAATTGGGAAATATTTACCAAAAAAAAATAATAGAATATAGATGATGTTAATATGTGATTTTCTAAGTCAATATGAGGCTCTCAGGGATCATTGTGGACTGTTTAGTCTCCTGTGTTTCTATTTAAGTTGGATATTGTTGTTTTAAAGCACTTTACAAACCTTAAAGCTAGCTATAATTATGCTAGCCATTGTATTTTTTTATTTTACTTTTAATCTTACTACTCATGATGTTCTAGATTTTGCTGAACTTTTGGATCATAACAAGACTTAGGACCAGCATATTAAGAGACTGAATTCCAAAGGAATAGTGCTCAGACACAGTGCCCATTGTGGGGGCAGCTGGGCGGCAAAGTGGATAGAGCACCAGGGCCTGGAGTCAGGAAGACTCATCTTGAGTTCAAATCCAGACTCAGACATTTAATAGCTGTGTGACCCTGGGCAAGTCCCTTAATCCTGTTTGCCTCAGTTTTCTCATCTGTAAAATGGGGAGTGAAATGGCAAATCACTCCACTATCTTTGCCAAGAAAACCCCAAATGGGGTCATGAAGAGACTGAAATGATTGAACAACAAGCAGAAGAAGGTTTGATTGTATTCTATCCAACAATGGAGCACTAGGTACTATTGATCCTCTCTTCCTCATGTCTTTTTGTGATGTTGTCCTATAATGTATGCCTCCCTCTCAATCAGAAGTTTCCTTTTGCAGGAGAACCATCTATGCCCTTTTCCCTTTGATTAGGACCACCCTAAGGCTATGTCCTGGGAACTTTCCATTTCTCTCTGCTCCCTCTTCCTCTATCATCTCATTAGGTCCCATTGATTTAATCACCATCACTTTACACAGGATTCCCAAATTTACATACATTTTTAGGCATGATCAACATATTGATCTTTTGTTTGGCTACATGTATTTGTTACAAGGGAGGTTATTTTTAGGGGAGGGAGAGTGAGTTCATGGGTAGTAAAAGATTTAAAAAAAGTATAAGGCCATCAATAAAGTGTTTAAAGTTTTTAGAATGAAATAAAATGTTAGAAGGGGACAAAAACAGGGAAATAAGGCAGTTTTGTTACTATAATACTGCAATATTGAATTGAATATAAATAATGTAATTTAATTTATTAAATTTAATAGAAACTAAAAAAAAATCAATAAACTGATAGGCATCTAGAGTTTTGTAGGGTTTTTTTGTATATTGAAATTTTCACGTTGACACTTACACAATAAAGAAAATTAAAATTTAAAAGTTTTTTTTTAAGTGTACATGCTATCAAAGAATTTACTAAAATCTGGGTAATTTTTGTCAATAGAACTCCCCTCATCCATTAATAACCTGTCAGAAAAGGAAAATTCAGCTGACATGACCTATTTTTGATGAAGTCATGCTACATACACTGCATGCTTTTCTAGATATTGACCAACCATCTCTTTACGATCTGATCCATTGTAAAATAGATTCTCCAGTAATCAAAGTCAAACTTATTGACCTATTTCAGGTAGGTCTCTCTCTGTCTCTCTGTGTCTCTCTGTGTCTCTCTGTGTCTCTCTGTGTCTGTCTCTCTGTGTCTGTCTCTCTCTCTCACCCTCTCTCTCTTTATCTCTCTGCCCCACCCTCCCTGTCATGAGTCTCTGCCTCTCTCTTTTGAAAACTGAGATCTTTGCCTTTCTCAATTCCTATAGCACCTTTCCCATTCTTGGTGATCTTTTGAATATTATTGACAGTGGCTCAACAATCACACCCATAATTTTAATACCTGAGGATGGTGTCTATTTTGCCTATTTTCTACTAAAATACATATTTTTAAAAAACCTTTTTAACATCCTTACTCTGGTGAATCAGGTCTTAAATATATATATCTATATCTCTCTCTCTCTATATCTATATATCTATATCTATCTATCTATCTACATCTATATCTATATCTATATCTATATCTATATCTATATCTATATATTCTTTTCCCCCATATAAATAAAACATAGAAAGTGCATTCTGCAAGTGTGTGGAGACATGAGTGTGAAAGGACAGAAAGACTTGTTTGCAGATTTTGGCATCCATTGATTTGAACAGTACCAAAGAAGTAGTAAAAATAATTGGGGATCAGGAGTTATAGATCTCTGACTCCAATCACAAAAGTATAGCAGCCAAGAAATTTCTTAGTCCAGATATATTGAATTCAGTTCCAGTGATCAGAATTTTTAAAAAAAAGTGAAAAGTATAAATTCTGGGGCTAAATTCATTTATTTGTCACACAAGCATTTATTAAACAACTAACAGACATATGATGTCATGCCATATGCTAGGGATATGAAGACAAAAATGAAATATTCCCTCTCCTCAGGGTCCTAATATTAATATTCTGGCACCGGTTCCAAATAAGGCAGGGGCCTGTGAAATGGACATTGGTCATTGAGGTTTAAGGCCCAGTGTTAACATCTTGCCAAGGAGGTGAGATTTTATCATTTCATAATTCCCCTCTAGACTCTCTCTGTGATGTTTGTAGTCTGCCATTATAGTCTACAATGGCACACTGTACCATTGGAATGATAGTTTCTATGTTTTGATGACCACGTCTCTAATTTCATTGTTGAGTTTCTTCAAACTCCAGCAGATGCCATTTAGTCCTGGTAAATACTTTGAGTTAACTATTACTTTGCCTGGCACATAGTAAGCCCTTATAAGTGTTTGTTGACATGACATTTTTTTTAAGATTATTTTCTATTGACTACTCTTTACTGTAGTATTCCCAACTTGTCCACATCTGGGTCAACTTGAGTGAGTGAGGGGGTGTCCCTAGTACTATCCTCAGACAAAGACATCTATTTCTTAACTGTGTGATCCATTGTGGTTTTTATTTTGGAATGTTCTTTTTACCTCATTATACCTTAATGGGCTCTGACATGTTCTTTACATGGTTCGCTCCCTTTCACAGCTTGAAAGAACTCCTTAGAAAACTCAAAACAAAGACAGAATAGGACTCAGGGATGTTTTATATGGGGATTACAATTCTTGAGCGATCTATGTTATGAGGTTGTTATGATAAATATGAACTAGAAAGAGAAGCTGCTAGGATTATTACTATGATTATTCTTTTTTTCTTCTTTTTTGGCAATTGGGATTAAGTGACTTGCCCAGGGTCACACAGCTAGTAAGTGTCAAGTATTTGGTCTGAGGCCAGATTTGAACTCAGGTCCTTCTGACTTCAGGGCTGGTGCTCTATTCACTGAGCCACCTAGCTGCCCCCAAGATTATTCTTAAAAAAGCAAAATAAAAACAAAAAATCTCAGCACTTACTCTGTGGAAACTTTGGTGGGTTGTCATTGACATCAGTAAGTGTAATTGTCACTTTGGTTGTCCCTGAGAGTCCACCCATGTGTCCGCCCATGTCCTTGGCTTGGATTACAACATGATATTCTTCCTTGGCTTCTCTGTCCATGTTGGGAAGCGCTGTTCTGATTATACCTGTATGAGAAAGGGGAAAATATAGAGAGGATAAACCATCCATCACTTGCCATTTAGAGACACTGCATGAAAATTTTATTCTTCTCTATCTCCCCATCCACATGAACTAAAGGATTATCAATTATCCCTTACAGATACACACAAACACACACACACACACACACACACACACACACACTTCAATACATGCATACATAGATTTTCACATAAATGCTCCAATTACTTATTACAGTTGTCAGGATATTTGGTTGTTTCAGAGAGCAATCACAGGTGCAGCTATGAGCAGTGAGGAGGACAGTCCACTCTGCCCACTGGCTCCATTGTGCTATATCAGCTGTCACATAATGCAGCTGACTATGATAGTATTTCTTTCAGATTATTCAGGGGTGCTAGCTAGTAAGAAGAGTGCTGGTGTGTGGTGGTTTAATGTTGGGTAGAATCTGGCTTCAGAAATGAGCAAACATGGTGTATAATAGGGCTTTGTAATCTGGGCTCCATGAATTTTGGGAGAGAGACAGAGAGAGAGAGAGGCAGAGAGAGAAAGTGAGACAGAGAGACAGACAGAGAGGCAGAGAGACAGAGAGAGACAAAGAGACAGAGACAGAGACAGAGAGTGAGAGACACACAGAGAGACAGAGACTATTTTTCAGCATAATCAGTTCCCTTTGTAATTTAATTTATTTTATGCATTTAAAATCAATATTCTGAAGAAGAACCCAAAAGTTTTAGCAGATTACCAAAGAGGCCCGTGATACACAAATAAAATTGAAAACCTCTCATGAATGGAGTGTATGGTCAGAATCAAAGAAACAAATGAAGAAAGAGACTAAAAAGGCTAAATCTTGGGTCTCCTCTTGTGTTTGAAGATTCTGCTGTACTAATGGATGGTTGCCTCAGCTGCCTACTATAGCTTGGCCTGGATCTAGCTAAACTTCACTTCATTCCCTGGCAATATCCTTATCAACCACCATGCCACCTGGACAAGAACCCATGATGCTAAGGACTTAACATTCTTAACGCTAGAGCCAGTGATCTGAGGCCCCACTGGCCTGACTGGTAATTGACTCAGTGGCCCACAACTTCTAGGTTGAGATCTAATCAAGCTTCACTTTACCCACGGCTATTTCCTCATTAGCTGCCATGGGTGTACGCTCTCCCTCCAACCTTTCCAAATCTGAAAGCATAATCAAATCAACTACCCTATATACACTTTAGCCATCCTATTATAAGCTCCTTGAAGGCCAAGTCTATCTTCACTTCTAGTACAGAGTTTGGCACATATTAAAAACTGAATAAATCCTTCCTTCCTTCTTTCCTTCCTTAATTCCTTCCTTCCTTCTTTTCTTCCTTTCTTTCCTTCATTTATTTACTAATTTATCCTCATGGTACATGGGAATGTTCAAGCATGTCTGTGTTGACTCATTTTCTAGTACACCCATATAGCCTATGCCAGTGTACTCAGCAAATGATAAGGAAGCTTGGATGTCAGATGAAGTCTGTTGCTGTCCATCTTTATATGGTACCAGCTGAGCTTGCTCACATTTTCCAGTGCCAGGTGCTAGAAGAAGTCTGGGGTGTTTGTGAGTGTTGATATTTCCTTCTTCTTAACAGGAGGTAAATTACCATTTTGAAATCTCTGTTAAAAAACTCTAAGACAGTGTTTCTCCAAGGATTTGCCAAGAGTTTTACTAGATGGGCCATGAATTTTGAATACGATGCTACTGAAGATAAAAGTTTATAAATGTAAATAAGACAAGCATCTACAACCCAATCAAAACTGAGTGTTGCAAAAGCATAAAGAACAAGTGTGGCCCCAAAGAAGAGATATGAGGAAAAAAAAGAGACATGAGAGCTTAGCTAGATCCAGTGCTCCTTTGCAACGGAGGGAGAAAGGGAAGTCTACAAATTTGGAATATTACATATATTGTCAGATTTTTCTTGATTTCTTGGTTGTTTTTGCTGAAATTCTTTATTTTTTTTTGTTTTAATTTAATTAAATTTTTTTCCTATAATGGCAGTATTAATTCAAAGTAAGTATGCAACGTGATTTGTCAATTAAGAAGCAATATAGAAGCAATAAGTCAATTAAGAAGCATTTATTAAGCTCTTATTATGTTCCAGGAACTGTTCTAAATATGGAGGATACAGAGAGGCATAAACAGTCTTTGCCCTTAAGAAGTTTACTTGAAAGAAGGAGAAAACATATCTATCAATAGGTCCATACCATACAAAATATAAATAGATAGCTCAGTATTGTAGGGGATAGAATGCTACACTTTGAGTCAGGAAGAACTGATTTTGAATTTTGCCTTAGACATAACTATGTGACCCGGGGAAAGTCACCTAACCTCTCTTAGCCTATTTCTTCATCTGTAAAATGGGGTTAATAGTAGGCCTTCCCTCACATGGGAATTGTGAAGATCAAATGAGATAACACATGTAAAGCACTTTGAAAACATTACATATCTTTATGAATGTTAGCTCTCGTACAAGACACATGAAGAGATACCTAGTTATCATAGAGGGCAAGGCATTAGAAGCTAGAGGTGTTAGGCAAAGGTCTCCTTCAGGAGCTGGTGCTTAAATTAAGTCTTTGAAAGAAGTCAAGAATTAAAATCATTTCTTTGTAAAGGATCAAATCAGCTCCAAAAGGGCAATCAAATCAATCAAATGTATATTGTTTTATGGGATATACGTGTGTGTGTGTGAGTGTGGGTAGGTAAAGGAATAGGTATGTAAATATCTATATCTATATATATTATATATATATGTGTGTGTGTATCTCTCGGTGTATATATATATATATACACACATATATACACACATACATATACATGTATATATGCATATAAATATTTATACACACACATATATATTCATATATGCATATATATGCTCACACACATATATAGATATAGACATATATCTATCTATCTATCTATATCTATATACATATATATAGATATATATGGTTTTTAATGTAGCATTCAAGGATCTCCAAGGGATAAGTGGACAGATTACAGGGCATTTGTGAATTTGAATGAATAAAAACACAACTTTATTTTCACTACCCATGGAAATTTAGTATTTCTTCAATTATGAATTTTTTAAAGCATTATTCTCCAAAAGGTCCATAGGTGTCACTAGACTGCCAAAGGGGTCACGACACTGAAAAGGTTTGGAACCCCTGCTCTATAGTCTTTAAAGAAAAGCAGGGAGGTAGTACAACAGCATGGCATAGTAGATAGAGAAGTGATTTCAAAATCAGAAAGACTAGGGTTTAAATTTTGCCTGTGCTATATCCTGTCTGTGTGTGACTGTGAGGCAAGTCACTTAACTTTAAACTCTAGCCAGATGCAGTGCTCTAAGACTATAAGGCATAGAGAAAGTGCTGATCTGAATTGGCAAAGAGATTTGGCAGTGATATACTCCACTAAAACTGTCCATAGTCTTTACCTTACATACATTCTTATGAGGAAATGAACCCCAGACAAGTGATTTGAATTCTTCAGAGCTAACACATGCTAGAGTTAGATTTCAGAGCAAGGGCTATTGATTCCACATTTTCTGGTTGCCCCTTGGCTGATGCAGGATTGGGGTCAGAGAGCCAAAACATGCAAACTCTTAAATTCAATCTTCCATACCTGTTTGTGCTTCAACAGAAAAATAGGGCTGCCCTTCCAGAATGCTATAAACCAGTTTAGCACTGTTTCCATAGGTAGGGTCATCAGCATCTGAAGCTGTTACTTGGATCACAGATGTACCTGAAAAAGGAGACAGAAACTTTTGTTCAAATCACTAAGCTATGCAAATTATATTTTTATATGTGTGGTTTTATTTCATAATTGAAAAAAAAGCCAAGAACATCAATTCAATGCATTTGTGTTTTTGCATTGAAATTAGAAATGTGTTTAACTTAGATTTTATTAATTAATAAAAATATTTTCTCTCCTCATCTCCCCTAATGAAAAAAGAAAAGAAACAAACACTTATATATTTTAATTAGTTCATTCAAACATGAAAATTATATATTCATGGTAAACTCTGCTACATTTGGTAGTTAAATTAATGTTACAAATATTATTGTAAAAAAAAAAAACATTTCTAGACTCATGAAATTGGACCATTCCGTAAATCAAATAATTAAGAACAATTCCTCCCAAAGAGTGTGATAAATGATAATTAATGATGAATTACTTTTCATGAAAGGACAGGGTGTAATCTTCCATCTGTAGTAGTATAATAAATATATCATTTTATTATAGCTATGCATGTAATAAAATTGCTAATATAGTTTTTAATTAATTCATTGCTATAAATATTGTCCAGAATGTTGTTCCCTGATGATGTGGAAATCATATCTTCCCTGTTCAAATGGGATTGGTAGCCATCAGAAAAAAAAAGAGAGAGATGAAGAAGAAAAACAACAACAACAACAAAAAACAAAGCAAAACAAAAAAAAACAGTCAACATCTATTGGGTCTGAATCTGGAGCATTTCAACGAAAAAATGTAAGCAGGTAATTGATTTGTCATCTTCCCTCAAAAGCCTTCAATGCCTCATTTCTGCTGTAGCCACTGGCTGACGGAGCACTTGAGCTGGAGGATCTGAATGGGGAGGTGGCATTCTGCTGCAACATGGTGGCATGATGTGTCAAGTTTAAAACAACATAGATTGCAGAACAAGTCCAGTCTCAGAGACTTCACTGTTCTTGTGCTAGGAATGGAGCAGGCTCATTGCTCTCTAGTCACCCAAGTAATCTGTCCTCAATTATTAACTGCAAAAACATTGTTATTATTTAATAAGTGAGCATAAGGTCATCAACATTGGTACAAGTTTGCCAGACTTATTTTTTTCTGTTGTTTTTGAAAAAAAAATCCTGATGACAGGTAAAACATTATAAATCAAGTCTAGTCAACAATCATTTATTAGATGCCTATTATGTGCCAGGCACTATGCTAAGGGCTGATAACAAAATTGTAAAGTCCCCAGCAACAATGTTTTAAATGGGTAATTTACCAAATATACTTAAAGTAGACAGAAGTTTCACTATATTTGGGTAGGGAGAGGTCTGTTTGGAATATGACTTTATTGAAAATGATGTTTCATAAGGAAAGAGTATATAGGGTAGATCTGTATTCAGTGAAGCCGCTCATAGGATCAAATAGATGAATCTGAATGAATGAATTAAATTAAATGCGTTAAGGGAAGTGGCAATTTAAAGCAGCCCTCCAGGGAATCCTTCAGCAGGGCAAAGATCCCTCAAATAATGCAGATTAAATCCCCTTGATTTTATGTTACGTAAGTTTTTATGTTATAATATTGAATTCATTTAATATAGGTCCCAGCTGCATTTATTAGTAGTACCTCGATAACTGCTTGAAAACCACTTCCCTTATTTCTTCTCTCAAAAACAAAACAAAACAAACAAACAAACAAAAAACTACGTCCTACCTCCTAAATTGTGGCAAAGTAGTTTGGGGAATGTTTACTTATATATAAATGAACCCAATGTTTATAAAAATGAAAAAGGGAAAGAAAAGACAGTAGGTTTCCTTGGTACATACCCACATTGGACCGCTCTGGCACATTGGCATGATAATTTTCATGTAAGAATTCAGGGGGGTTGTCATTGATGTCTTGCACTTTGACAATGAATTCTGAAGGTGGCTCTAATGGCCGATTGGTGTCTCTGTCCACAGCTTGGGCCATCAGTGTATACTGGGCTCTCTCTTCTCGGTCCAGTGTCTTGGTTGCATGAATGTTCCCTGATTTGTCATCAATAACAAAAATGGTTCCTGCTCCTTCACCTGAGAGAATGTATTTAATGTTCCCATCACCAGAATCAATATCAGAGTGGAGCTAGGAGGAGAAAAAAAGATATTTGTGACCTTCCAATACAGAGAATGTGAGCAAGTAAAATTGGGATGAAATGGATGGGTCAGTGCTAAAATAAAACCTGGTTGACTGTCCCTGTTGGACAATAGGGTGTCATGATAAAGAAATGATGGCTTGAGCCAACAGTTTAAATTATCTAGGGGAACTAAAGGAAGGGAGGGAATAATTGAGGATGGAAAAGAATTCCAAAGGAGCCTAATGAGCTCTGTGCCAAATATACCACGGTGCATAACGTTTTAACTTTCTACTTCACTATGATATGATCTACATGACAACTATTATCCGGACGAAAATTGATTGAACACAATCATAGATACAGACCTGGAAGGGGCCATAGGGCTCATCTAGTCTTACCCCCTCGTTTTATACATGAGGAAACTAAAGGCTGGAGAGATGAAGTGACCAAAGGCAAATTAAATAGCAGAGCCAGGATTTGAACTCAAATCTTAAAACTCCAGTGTCTATTCTTTCCATTGTGCTATGATGCCTCTCAAAATTTCTGGACAAAACTTGATCTATGCCATCTTTTAAAAGTACAGTTTTGATACAGTATCCCCTTACTTCAAAACCTTCCACGGCTCCCTCTTATCTATTATATCTAGTACATTAATAAATAAGAATATTAATAATAGCTCACATTTATGTAATATTACCATTTACATAGCACTTTGCTCACAATTAAGTTTAAATACCCTTTTAGATAATCAAGAATCTGTTACTGTTACTTTTCCCATTGTGTCTCTTAGTACATTCCGCTATGTTCCAGTCAAAGCAGATTACTAGTTATTTCCTAAGCATAATTTATGTTTTCCTGCCTTTAATCGCTATGTGTAGAATGGTCTCCATCATTCTAACCCATCCCAAACCTAACTGTCATTAAAAGCTGCGTTTAAATGTCACTTCTTCCATAAAGTCTTCCAAGTTCTAGACAGGCAATGTGGTTGCACCCTTCTCTCAACTTCCATCATACTATGTTGGCATTTCTGTTATGGTACTTATCACACTCTGCCTTGGATTACACTTATTTCTGCATATGAGCTACTTTAATTTAAGCCCTATGCATCCTGGCCTAGGGACATTAGAGTACTATACATTGCCCTGGTCAGACCATAGTAAGAATATTATGAAGAATCCTGGGTGCCACATCTCAGGAATGGCATTGGTAAATTGTAGAGTATCCAAAGGAGAGTGTCCAGAATGGGGAAGGACCTGGAGACCACACCAAATTGGGATTCATTCATTAAATCAGGGATGTTAGGCATTGGAGAAAACAGCAAGGACATGATAACTGGATTCAAGTACCTTAAGGCTGTCACAAAGAAAGATTAAATTTCAGCTTGGCTGGAGGGTAGAACTAAGAGCAATGGGTAGGAACTGAAAAGATATATATTTAAATGGCATCAGAGGTATGGGGAAACTTTCTAATGGAACTATATAACAGCAAAATGGCCTGTCTCAGGAGATTGTGGGTTCTACCTCACTGGAGGCATTCAAGCAAGAGCTTTTATGGCACACTGGCCACAGGGGTATAGGGGCTGGTGTGGGAGGAATCCTTCAGGAATGGGTTAGACTAAATGGCCTCTAAGGTCCATTCTAATTATGAGATTCTATGTGATTCTGTGAGATGTAGATAGAGGCTGTGTTTTCTTAATCTATGTACTCCACACAACACAACAAATGGTCTTGATATAATAGTCTATAAGTGTCTGATGAATGAATGAATACATTAGTATCTCCAAGGGTGGCAGGGATGGCATTCCAGATGGGTAACATTCTCCTCCTACTCAATTGACTCTCATTTTAGACAGTATTTTAAGGCTTTCAATTTTTTTCTCCCAAAGCATTTTTCACAACTACTGTATAAGGTAGTTAGTACAAATACCATTGCCTCATTTTACAAAGAAAGAAACTGAAATACAGATGGGAAAAATGACTTTCCAGGAGTCATACAAATAACTCTTGATGCCCAGTGTCATCAAAGCCAGAATATGAACCCAGCTCTCCCCATACTCCCATTTTAGCGTATTTTCTACTATACTATGAGTTCCAAAGGGGGAAATCCTTATTTTTCCAAAAACAATGTATTATGTAGACTTTTGCCTTATTCACAATTAACTGCTTTATTGAATTTCAATCTTTATTTTCCTTATTCTAATATAAGTGGGAAGAAGCACAGACGATCTGTTCACAATGGTCCATAAGCAAGAAGACATTGAGGACCCTTATGACTCTACCAACAGAATGATGCCAGTGTCCAAGATGGCTAGAGGTTTACAAAAGCAAATTATCAAAGGACCGTGAAATCTGTTATAGCTGTCAAAAAGAAGCAATTATATAGTTAAGCAAGATCTGACAAAGTACCGTAGTGGGTCTGAGCACATAACTTCTTCATCATTCAAACAGATTGAAAATAGTATACTTCTCACACAGTGTTTTTAAATGAGTAGAGAGCTATGGGAAATGTGTGTGTGTGTGTGTAGTAACTGGACATGTGATTTAGGTAGAAGGAACTCATGTTCCTTCAACTAATATTACTTTTTAGTTTTACAAATATTACTTTTATTACTTTTACAAATGCAGGTCAGCACCTCTTCTGCAACATATGGCCCAGAGAGCTTCCTAGGTCACTGAGAAGTTATCCAACTTGACCAGGTACACGCTAAAAGTAGTCTTGTCTGAGGAGGACTTAACTCTGCTTCAAGTCTGCTTTGCTGTCTTGCTCTCTCAGCCTTTATTTCTCTCTCTGTCACTATCTCTCCCTCCCTCATATATAAATACATATATGCATGTAAATACATACATACTACATATGCATAATATATAATACAGTATGCATAATACAATAAATATATACATGCATATTTTATATGTATATTCACATATAACACACGTATACATATTGCATATATGTATGTATATGTAAGTGTCATATTGTAAGTAACTGGAAATACAACAATTTTCTTTAATTCTTTTGCAATCTGATTTTACTGAGATGGTTGGGTATGTTTGATTTCAGTTCCCCTCTTAAATGTGGGACAGTGGTGGTGTCATGGAGAATGCAGAAGAAATCAGAAGACGTGAGTTCTAGTTCTGGCTATTCTATCATTGCATTGGCTATGCAGGGTAAGTTACTTGCCTTTTCTGCATCTCAGTTTCCACATCTGCCAAGTCAGCTTGAGCTATTACTCCTAAAACTAATATTGTTTGTGTACAGACACCACCCTTCTAAGATTCCTACCAGTTCAAACATCCTATGCTCTTAGGTCCCTTCCAGATCTTATAATACAGTGGTCCATATTTTAAGATCCTTTGCACTCTTAGCATCCTGTAATTGTGTATTTTAATTCATGAAATGTCTTGGGAATTAAATAGACATAAGCTTTTTTTTTTTTGATCATCCATATGATTAACTTTAAAAAAAATGTTTTAGATTCTTCTCATTTCACTGACAGCACTAACACAGATGAAAGTTAGATGTAAATTCTCATTTGAATCTCATAAAAGGGGATTTATATTACTTCCATTTAATCAGATATCATTTACTATTAAGCTCTACACAAAAAAGTAGTTCAGTAAATCATTAAATGCTATCAACTGAACCTGACATTAGTTTCTTGCCTATTTTCAACCCTAAGGATTGTAAACTTTTTTTTTCTTTTGTACATTGAAATATAAATTTTCCCCATTTCAACAAAGAATGCAACTTTCATGGTGAAGTTTCACTTTTGATAACCAACTATAAATATTGAAAGTTGGAGATCAAACAAATCATCATTTACTTTTAAATCAATACATGACACTTTACTAGATTCCACAAAGGAAGAAATACCTAGTTAATATAACCATGTATTGTACAGTCATTTCCATTGTCCAAGCTAAAATGATCATACTTAAATTTAATCTTCTATTCTCTTATCATGTCCATAGTGGAAATTCAGAAAATCTTTTCAATGATACTTAGATGTGTTCTGATTTCGTTGCATCATTATCCCATCAGGGACCAAGACCTTTAACATAGCTATCCTTTATCAGTATAAATAAACAAAATTATAGAATCAATGAATGATGGTATTGGACTGCATCTTGGAATAAAGATTATTAGAAGTTAAAAAAAAAACGATCTGGAAAAATATGAGGAGCAAGTATCCTGGAACAGATTTTTAGAAGCATAAGTTACCTCAATGTGTAAAATGTTATTACTATAAAGAATATCATTACACAGAATGTCAGATGTGAAAGTGAATACAGAATGTTAAATTGGGAAGGAATTGTTCTCTTTCCTTGTTGCAAACCCCAGTCACTCTACCCCTCCCTGTTTTCCCAGGGTATCACTCCTTCTCCACCCTCTCTTTCCTGTCCTCAGAATCTTGACCCTATAATTTACTAGCTCAGCTTGATAGTACTCATTACTCTAGAGTCCCTTGACCTGTCTTCACCCATCCTTTTTCAAACCATAACCCTTTATTATAACCCATTTTCTCTACTCCTACGCATGAACCACTGCACACACAGGAACTCACAAAATTTTGCTAATTCATTTGACTAAAAAATTATGTTATGTGGTCTTCAATGGGGCCTCATTGGTATATAACAATCATTTTATTCTTCCCTGACTTTTATTTATTTATTCTCCTCTATCCTATTCACCATAGTGAATTCACCAAAACTTTTTTCTCTAGTCAGTCTACTTATATCACCTCTTCCTCTCTCCCTTTTTGCAGAGAACTTTGTCTCATAATTCACTGAAAAAAAAGTTATATTTTGGAGGTCTTCTTTACTCATAAGTTTCATGTTTCAAATCACTTTAATATAATCCTAAAGTCTCTCCAATCTTGGAGAATGAAGTGGTCCTTTTCCTTCTCAATAACAATCTTTCTACTGCTACACTTTATCCCATTTCTTCTCACCTCCTCTGGAAAATAACTCCTTTAATTATCACTCTTCTTTCCCTCTATCCTTTCTCCTCTCCTCACCCCTGCTCCCTTTCCCTAAATTTTCCATCTTTTCCTAAAGAAATGCTTCTTCCCTTCTGCTTGCAAACATGCCCCAAATCCATAAAAACAAAATTTTACAAAACAAAACAACCATTCCATTTGGCACTACCATCTCCTCAAGTTATTCTATCATTTTCTTTTTTTGCAGTCAGATTTCTAGGGTGAGGAGGTGGGGAGCAGTTTAAATGCCTTGAGTCCACTTTCTCATCTCCCTGTTCTCACTGTTCAGTCACTTTCAGTCTGGCTTCTGACTTCATCATACAAATGAAATTATCACTAAGGTCACCAGTGATGTCGTGAATGAAAACTTCACTCATCTTTTTTCAGCCCTCACCCTCCTTGACATCTGTGTAGCACCTAATACTTCTGACTGTCTTCTCATCCTAGAAGCTCTCTTCTCTGTGGGTTTTTGTGATACTTTTCTTTCTACAGAGTTTTGGAAATGTACACATTCCACGTAACTCAGATTTTAATCCTGATTCTACACCTTGCCATCTGTGTGACATCAGGTAAATCACTTAACCTATCTGGGCTTTGTCTTTCTCTAATGGCTCTTCCAGCTCTTATTCTCTGATACTATCATCCTATGACTATAGCCAATGAAGTCTAAAGTTCACAGAACCACCGGGAATATTGAAATAAAAAAGTGAGTTCAATATCTTACCCTGCCAACTAATACAGGATCTGGTCCAGTGTACTCCTCAATTACAAAAAACTGATTCCAGACCCAGCCTCTTTTGGAACGTTGAAGAACCTGACCTTCTTTTCCTTTTTCATGGTGAGAGTGCAGAGGCCTTAAATGATTCAATTTCTCATTTGACAATGCCTGGCTGTTAGCCAGCATTCCCAGGCAGACCAGGATAGCATGTAAACAGTAGTTTGCCTTCATTTTTGGTTAAGTGAGAGGCACAGGAGTATCTGCAAATCCAGCCTTTGTACCCAGAGATCTGACAGTCTTCAACCTGGCAGGCCACTCAGCACATTCAAATGGAACCGTCTCCAGACAGAATACCACCATTCAGGAAGAGCATCACCTCAATGTTGTGCACCTTCCCGATTTTGCCTCTGAAAGGAAAAGAAAAGATGTCAATGACTTCGCAGTCAAAGAAACTCCACACATTCATTAGCAAGTATGCTTAAGAACAGGGCAGTGGGGTGGGATGGAGGAAGTATGTTAAAACAGTTGGTTCCTTAAACCAGTGGCAACAGCCACATGGATACAGTTTATTTTAAATGGATCTGGTAACCTTTGTTATTGTTCAGTCATTTCAGCCATGTCTGACTCTTCATGACCCCATTTGGGATTTTCTTGGCAAAAATACTGGAGCGGCTTTCCATTTCCTTTTCCACTCACTTTACAGACAAAGAAACTGAGAGAAACAGAGTTAAGTGACTTGCCCAGCTAGTAAGTGTCTGAGGCCGGATTTGAACTCAGGTCTTCCTGACTCCAGACCCAGCACTCTATTCACTGTGCCACCCAGCTGCCCCAAGCTTACTCAGGGAAGACTGGCCTCTTAGATTTTGGCCACTAGTGTCATCCAAGCATGTTGATGGTCCTAAAGATGAGCAGTAGCTGAAGTAGTAAAGAGAACACTAGACTGGCAGTCAAGAAGACCTGCCTTTATCAGTTAGTAAGCATTTTTTTCTTAAACCCAGGCTATATTTGGGGGAGTAAAGAAAGGCAAAAACAATCCTTGTCCTCTTGAAGCTCACATTCTAATGGAGAAACTAACATGAAAATACCCAGGTCCATAAAATATATATACAAAGCAGATGCAAAATCAGAAGGAAGGCACAAGCTGCTGGAGGGGACCAGGAAAGGCCTCTTACAGAAGGTGGGATTTAGAGGGAGTCTCAAAGGAAGTCAGGGGAACCAAAAGGCAGCAGTGAGAAGAGAGATCTCATCTCAAACACTTGCTATAGCTCTGTGTGCCTGGATAAATCACACAACTTTCAAAGTCTCCATAAAAGGAAGATAACAATAGCACCTGCCTCCCAGAATTGCAGTAGGATCAAGTGAAGTGGTGAAGTGTGTGTAAAGCTCCTTGAAGACTTTAGAGTGTTGTGTAAATGTGAGCTATTTTAATGTTATTGGGAGACAAGTTACATAACTTGTCCAGGGTTAACAGCTAATATCTGTCGGAGGAAAAATCTGAACCGAGGTCTTCCTGACTCTGAAGCCAGGTCTCCATCTCCTCTGCACCCTGCCTCAGTGCCCCAGGTGACATGGGAAGACTAAATGTTCCAGACTAGGTCTTTATGCTTACATTGGAAGAATGAGTTTTCTTACCACTGGGGTTTCTTAAAAACAAAAACAAAACAACAACAAAAAATGTGTACATAGAGAGCATTGGGCATGGAGTTAACACACCCAGGTGTGAATCTTATCTTTTTAGTACTCATGAGAGCTTTTGTACCTTTTGCTTTAACTGGAAACTTGAGAACTAGAGGGTACAGTGGGAGGTATTATCTCTGCCAATAGTAATTATTCCTGGTGGCATGACTGGCCTAAAGGAGAAAGCGCTGTATGTGTATTCAAAGTATCTAGGTTCAAATCTTGGCTCTCTTAATAGATTTGTGACCTTGGGCAAGACACTCTCTGGATCTTGGTTTCCCAAACAGAATGAACTAATCCCTGAGGGTTTTTCTAGTGATATGTCTCTCCTATTCGAAAGTACTTTGTAAATAGCAAGATAGTTCTAAAAATGTGAGGGATTATTATTAAATTTGACCAGGATCACTATGCTCAAACTACATAAGGATCTATGGATTAAACACACACACACACGCAAAAAAAACAAAACAAAACAACAAAAACAAACAAAAACTATTGCACAGGCTTGCTTCTTTGCTACCTTTATTGTCAGGATCCGAAGAAATGTCAGAGGTCATCTAGTTCAACTCCTTCTTGAGTAGTCATACCCCTTCCAACACCCCAAATAAGTAGTCATACATTCTTACTTTGAATAGCTCCAGGAATATAGAACTCACTTACAAACAAGGTAACTGATGTCATTTTAATTTTATCTGAAAGTTCCTCCTTATATTGACCAAAATATACCTTCCTGTTACTTCTATACATCATTCCAAGTTTTATCCTATATAGCTCAGCAAAACAAACCTAGTCTTTCTTCTAACTGGTTGTCTTTCAAACATATAAAGACAGCTCTCTTGGACCTTCTAAGTCTCCACTTTAAACATACTTTGATTCTTCTATTGCCCTTAGCATGACAGTCTCTACTGCCTCTCACCATCTTGTTCTTTACCTCTTGGAATGCTCTCCAGCTTGCAAATGTTCTTTCTAAAATGTGATGTCAGAACTAGATGTAAACCTCCAGCCGGGCTCTAACCAGGGTTGTTGAATTTTCTTTTTCCTTCCTTCTTTCTTTCTTTCTTTCTTTCTTTCTTTCTTTCTTTCTTTCTTTCTTTCTTTCTTTCTTTCTTTCTTTCTTTCTTTCTTTCTTTCTTTTCTGATCCCCTCTGTTGGTAATGACTTTCCTTGCACCAGTTTCACAGAGGACTTTTTCACTTTTCTGATAATGGCAATTAAAATTTTTAATTTATTTCCTGCCTGGCTACCTTCCTGGAATTCTCCATCACATTACAGGAATCACTTCATCCTGCAAAATCACTTCAGCCCTGGAACTCACACTTTGGCAATACCCTGTGCACCTAGGCCCCTATCTTCCCTCTAATTGGAGGGCAGAGACCTCTCCTCCTAGAAACTCTAATTAAGAAGGGTCGAATTCTTTCAGGCAGGACCCATGTCTCTTACTCTCAGTATTTTGGGGTCCCAGGATCCCTAAACTTCTAGACCTCAATAAAATGAGTTTTCCAGGGTCATAAGTACTAAGTGTCTCAGGTTGGATTTGAATTCAAGTCTTCCATACTCCAGCAGAGCTCTATGTACTCTATACTTAATTGCCTATTATAATTATTACCAGTATCTCTCTCTCCACAGATATATAGACAGAGATATATATGTATATATGCATGTGCATAGTATATGTATACACACATAATATAATATTGTCACAATATATATGTGTATATGTATATATACATACACATATACATTTCCTTTCTTTTTAATGGTATTTGTTGGATTAGATGGTTCTTTACAAATCTAAGATTCTATGATTATTATAGGCAGCTAGGTGGCGCAGTGCATAGACTGCTGGGTCTGGAGTCAGGAAGACTTATCAATCTGAGTTCAAATCTGGCCTCAGATATTAGCAGTAGAATCCTAGGCAAGTCACTTAGCCTTGTTTGCCTCAGGTTCCTCATCTGTAAAATGAGCTGGAAAGGAAATGACAAACATTCCAATATCTTTGTCACAAAAACCCCACACAGCATCATGAAAATTCACACACAATTGAAACTACTGAACTACAGCAACGTGATTTTTTATCATCCCAGGACTGACCTAACTACATGTGGTAAGGCTCATTACTATAGATCTTGCCACCAAGTGATAACACATTTAGGCTATAGAATAAAAATAGCATCACGAGGCATGATTTTCAGAAGACATATGGTCTCCTGAATTACCAAACTAAGCACTTAGTACTGTATGGTTACAAAACACTTTATTTACCTTGCATTATTTGATAACAAGGCAACTTGATGGTGAAGTGAAGAGAGCACCAGACCTGGAATCTAAAAAAAAACCTTCATCCAAATCTAGCCTAGACACTCACTTAGGCTAGAGTCAGGGGTGGGGAACCTTCGGCCTCGGGGCCACATCTTACCCCCTAGGTCCTCAAGTGTGGCCCTTTGACTAAATCCAAACTTTACAAACCTCTGTCCACATCAGTTTCCTCATCTTTAAAATGGGGAAGATAATGGCAACTCCCTCCAAGGGTTATTGTGAGGGTCAAATTAAATAACATTTATAAAACATGTTATAAAACTAAAAATACTATATAAATGCCAGTGATGATGATGACGATGATGATAACCCCGTGAGCTTTAAAGGATAGGCATTATTTTCCTCATTTTATAGCTGAGGAAACTAAGGCTCTGGGAACTGTAGCCCAAGGTCAAACAGCTAGTAAATGGAATCTCTTAGACTGAAATGTTGGTATTTTGACACCCAATTGATTGTGCTTTTCACAGCACGATGCTAGCATTTATGATTACAGATCAGATCCAGTTTAAAATTCAGTCTTGTATAAGTAAAACTGCATTTTACATAATGGCTAGTATTCTCAGCAGTCCATAATTATGGATATAATTAATGTTTCTAGGGAGACGATGTGAGAAATATTAATCTGGAGCGAGAGAAGTATTAATCTGGAGCAAGAGGGGAAAAAAAAAAGAGCTTAGCCAGAATGTCATAGACATGCCAGAAATCATATTATACAGGAAGTAAGTTCATCTAGCCAATGAATCCATTCTTCTTTCCCAGGTATGATTCTAGGGTTGTTGAAATTCCTAAGATATCTCACCATAGTAAACAACAAGCAAATTTATACTGGTTCCCAAAGCAGGATGAAGTTAAAGAACATTCCCCTAACACGGAATTTCTGAACTTCTGCATATGTTAAGACAGATGTGGGTCCTGAGGGATACATTCTGTGAAATGTGCTTCTAAAGCCTGGTGTAATGCATAGTGATTGATGGAAGGAATGTGATGGAGTTTGCAGGAATATTGCATAAAAATTAACGGACGACTGCATTCCAAATGAGACCTCAACTATAGTTAGAATTAGGGGTAAATAGTTATACTCTAATTTGTTTTAATAGCGATCCCCAAGATGGTTCCTTAACTATTCTTCCATTAAAGCTATTCTAACAAGATACTGCTTTTGGGTCCCACTAAGAAACCTAAGTAGCATTATATACATGGACTTCATTTTGTGATGAAGGGAAATATTGTCAGAAAAGAAAAAGGAAGTTCTCTTCAAAGTCACCAAAGTAGTAATATGACAGGAAGGTGCATTTACAAAAGGAAGAGATCTAAAGACCTGTAGAGCTCATCTCAGTTGATAGGCAGATAACCACTTTTAACCGATGGCTCTTCTAGCAAAAAATAGTCTCCCGCATGCTAGGTTTTGTCTCTG